CCCGAAGCAAATTTTCCCATAAGGTTCAGTGTAATTACCGTTAATCCGTTCTGGCGTCCGCAGACCACGCGTCAGGGGCGGGAAAACGGCCGGGCGCAGCGCGAAAACGGTCTGGCGCGGCACGGCGCAAAAACGGCCGGGCGCGGCGCAGTGCGGCGTGAAAACGGCCAGGCGCAGCGCGGTGCAAAAACAGCTGGGCACCGCAGCGCGAAAACAGCTGGGCGTGGTGCGGTGCGAAAACGGCCAGGCGCCGCACGGCAGAAAAATGGCCGCGACCACGTGTCAGGGGCGGAAAAATGGCCGCGGACCACGTGTCAGGGGCAGAAAAATGGCTGTCCGGGGCGGAGGTCGCACATCGAGGTAAATTTTTGCGGCCGGAGCTGGTCGTAACCCGAAAAGTTAGTTAGTAGAGGTGTTTGTATCCCGAGGTACCACTGTATTTATATATAACACCTTTAACTAACTGGATTGTTTTGGGTTCAAAAATATAAATTTGTTGTATTGCTGTACTATTATATCAATTTGAAAATTGTAGTATATTATTTCTGGAAACATGTTTTGGTCCTTTTGTCATGTCACATTAACCCAATGAGGTAATCCAGGCTTCAAAATTAATTAAAAACAACAACAGTTTTATGAAAGATCTGAACGAATACTGGGATTTTTACATTAGATCAACTTATGGATGATAACACGAGTTTTTAATCATTTTCTATGTTAAAAGAAAAATTTGCTAATTGACACCAACTGGCAGTATTTACAATTACAACGTTTATTGGTATCTCAATTTGGATCTGTGGCATTTGTAGCCTCAGACACATCTAAGTTATTAGAAGGGATCAATGAATCCACACGATCAAAAAGCCCACAGTTTGTACTGTATAAATATCTGTTATCAATAAATGGATCTGATATGCAAAACTGAAATACTGAAGTTAGTAAGGGAGACCCCCATTTTGTCTAAAGAATAAAAAATGTTTTACTCTTAATAGCAAAAACCGCATTAGATCTCAGATTACAGCTTCTACAACAAAATTAATGTTTTGCACTTACTAAACCTGTGTTTGTACAGAAAAAGAATGAGTAAATAATCATGTTACTGGAGAGGCAATCAAAATAATGCTTCATTAAAACACATGTTCTACAATGTCCTAAAGTTATTATGTTCTGGGAAGAAGTAATTAATTTGAGACAAAGTTTAATATTTTCAGATCCACATATTCTTTTGAACTACATATCTATTATGTAGAAATTGACAGCTGGACAACAGAATTGGATTCTCTGTGCCCTTATTACTGCCGAGAGATTGTCTTTTTATAAAGACAAATGTATGGCCCCAGTTGTCCACTGGACTGAAGACTCAAGGTTACATATACATTTATATATGCAAGAAAAGTCCTTATATATATACAGTTTATATTATATGTATAAAATCTACGCTGTTATTATTGTTACAGGTAGTCCTGGGGTTACAACAAAAATTGGAACCGAGACTGCTGTCACTAAGCGATGCAATCATAAAGACATCACGTGACCGTATCACTTAACCACGGCAATCCCAACAATCCCGGTTGCCGTTGTAACCCCAGCACCATGGGGTTGTTAAGTGGGAACAGCAGGAGTCCCAGGCAAGGAGTGCAAGGGGTACACGGGTGCCACAGGGGGTGTCACGGGCGGGCACTGGGGAACACGGGCAGACTGGTGAGGGCTGCAGGTGGGCGCTGGGAAACATGGGCGGGCTGTTGAGGACTACGGGCAGGTGCTGGGGAGTGCAGATGGGTCGGCAGGGGCCCTGGGCAGGCAGAGGGGTGCTGCAGGCGTGCTACAGAGTGCAGGCGGGGGGTGCTGTGGGTGGGGGGGGGGGTGCCAGTAGTGAGACTCCTTGGGAGAAAAAACAGCGGTAGCGACTTAAAGGAGTGACTTGCCAGCTTCCTCCCTGATTTTGCTTATGGGAAGCTGGCAGAGGTGGTCGCAAATGGCTATCATGTGACTGCAGCTCATTATGACATCATAATGGCACCCAGATCATGATCACATGACTGCGGAGACACTGCGACAGCCACAACCTTGTGGACCGGCTGTAAATCCCCCTTGTTCACTGCCATTGTAATTTTGAACAGTTGCTGAACAAGTGGTTGTAAATCAAGTACTACCTGTATTGCATTTTTTCTCTTTTTTGGTATTTGTTTCTTTTTTACTCTCTCTGTTTTGTCTTATTAAATAAATAGAGCAAAAAAAAAAGTTGGCTAGGGACTATAAGTATTGACAACTCAAAAATCTGAAAGGCACCAAGGTAGGGAAGACTTTCTGAGGCAATGTGATAGAAAAATGGGGCATACAGAAATAATTTCCTTCCAGAATATAATCCAGGATACTTACCTCCAGGGCTTGGCATGAGAGGGGTGCCAGGGGGCCCTCCACCTCCCTGTGAGGAGAGAGAGAAAGAATGGTCATGATCCTGGGGTTTGCCTTGTTGAGCAGCGATTCTCAACAACGTATCAACCATGCCTTGCAACCAGTTTTTATTAGATTCATCTGCCCTGTATCAAGACTTGAATTCGATTTGCCTAGGGAGTCCACCCCACATCTTTGCACACCTGTACAGGAACTCACCCCATAGCTGCCAGGAGAAGATGAGGAATAGGATACCTAAACAGGGTAGAAAGGAAAGAGGAAAAAAATCAGCTGCTGGGGAGCAGAATGTGCTGCATTCACAAGACATGCTTAACCTGGTTACCAAATTAACCCATTTGGGGGCATCTGCACAATATCCTGAACCACAAACTAACCAAACCGGCTGAGTGTGCACCACAAGCTGAGCCACAAAAACTCTGACCAAGCATGTTTAGTGTGTTGTGCAAGTTCAGCCACTACATTTTTCGCCAACCTGGTGAAGTCTGTCGTGTAAATGCAGCTACTGTGAATTTCCAAATTGTGGAGAAGTTTGTTTAAAAAAAAAAAAAAAAAAAGCAGACATACCGAGTTTGTGTTTATATTTGGCCAGGATCCTCGAATACCCGGAGCTCTGCAGAGAAAAATGTACAATGCTGACCTCTCCAACATTTGGAAGGGTTCCTGGGAAGGGGTGGTGTTGCTCCTGCTCCGTTGAAAAGACAACTGTCTCCCTGATTTCCTTTGGCTACCCCTTCCCAAGAGAAATAATGCAGAACACTTACATGTTCATTGTGGGCATACCAGGGCAAACCAGGGACCCTGGAGGAGGTCTTATGCCACCACCATAATTCTGGACGAAGAAAAAGCAGGAAGGGATTAGGGGATGGAAGACAAGCCAGCCATTGCTGATTCCCACCCCAGCCATTCATCACCTATAAGCACCGATTTTATACAACTGGATACATCTATTTACTACAGAGGTCAGGATCTTTGTATTATTACCATTACTGCTACCATTGATAATAAACATCATGTCACTATTTTAAGGGCAAACCATTTCGTTCCTCTAGTTCAAACAATAACTAGCTGTCACCGTTAAAAGAAAAACAAACCTATATTTTTGTAACTGTTTCAACCTGGATTTTTAAGACCTTGCTTTCATATTTTCTGGATATTTAATACTACTTCATCCACTGCCTTGAAGTCTGTTCACTTACTGTAAGTCACTGTGCGATTTTTAATGGAAGTGGCATGCACATGTTTAATATAAATAAATAAATGATGGAATGACAGAATATAAATATTTACCACTAGTATGTGTATGTATACAGTATGTGTGTGGGTGTGTAAATAAATAAATAAATGTGTGTGTGTGTGTGTATAAATAAAACAACCCAGGACTCCAGGGTTATACAGTGCCCTTCAGATTCACCTTGAAATTCACCCTGAAACTTTCTTTTTTCAAAGCTATTCTAACTGAATGAAAGAAAAGAAGAGCAACAGTTTTAAGGGATATGCAAATTAAGTTATGAACTTCAAGCAGTCAGGAAACTCCCTGAGCTCCTAAACCGTATTTTGTATTCACACGGGCATGCTTGCATCCATTCACATATACACGCACACTATCATCACAAACTCGCATCAAACAATACTTCCAGAGCCACTGACTTGTTTCAAAATCTATCCCCCACTTTGGGGCGCTCACCTGTGGAGCCATTCCTGTCATACCCCGTGGTGGGGTCATGCGCTGCATCGGGCCCATGTTAGGATGCCCTACTGGTGGCAGAAGGAGTGGGGAAAGAGGGGAATTGGGGAGATCAAACATATTTAAGATGCAACTGTAGAATCACAGTCTCTATGTACCTGGAGCCTCAAAAAGAAGTACATTCAAGCAGTTAAATGAAGCCAAAGGAACAAGTTCACATGTCTACAGTATTTGCATTTGCTTTATCAAACATGACCACATACTTTACTGAAAAAAAGTGGCAAGGATGCAAAAAATTCAGAAACAATTTGGAAGTCTTTTTGTGTTTTTTTATGCAAATAATTTCCAAATAAGATACACTAGCTACTATTTATTTATTTATTTATTTATGAGATTTATATTTATCTCATTTATTTATGAAATTGATGGATATAGATTCTAAAGAGATGCACCATTAATCTCATTTCTCTGTTTGCTCCATATTCTTCTGTCACCCCGATGGTGCACTCATCCCACTTTAACCCACTGCTCACCTTGTGATCGGATTGCTGGGTCCATTGCACTGGGCAGCAGAGGCTGAGGGCCAGACACACCCATAGATGGCTGCAGGAAAAAAAATCCATGTTTTTTATCAGATAGATACTTACTTATCAACAATGCACTTTATGTGGGGCCATCTTTGAAGTCCGTCCATAAGCTGCAGCTGTTGTAAAATTTAGCAATTGGGGGACCAGATTTGGTCCTCAAGTGCCGGTTGGGGACCAAATCTGAACCTTCTGAGCAATTTTGAGCAGCCTACACAGGTTGAATGAAAAGTAATGCCTCCAATGTTATACACTGCCAACATATGGCAATACTGACATACCAAAAGCTCCAACATGTTCTTTAGATTCTGTTCTTTCACTACAGTTGGCAGGAAATTGCTGTGAGAAAAAGTTATGTTGCTATCGTTTGTGAAATGACTGCCTTCAGGGAGTACTCATCAATGTGCACCATGACTGAATTTTTGACTGATGAAGGAGTCCCTCTAACTGAAATTCACTGCTAAATGCAAGTTGTTTATGGTGATGGCTGTGTTGATGTGAGCACTGTGGATTGCTGAGCCAAAAAATTTACATATTACAAACTGGGAAGAGCTGATTTGCATGATCAAAAACAAAGTAGATGACCCGTGACAGTTTAACCTGAGAAAGGTTGATGAACTAAGGACAATTGGCAGATCACTCACTCAAAGGAAAACTGCTGCCAAGCTTGGCATTTCACAGGGACACGTGGGTCACATTATTTATGTTCTTCAGTATCATATGGTTTGTGCAAGATGGGTTGCTGACAAAGAGATGAAAGCTTCAAGAACTAAAATTGTTGTACCCCTTATGGACTTTTTGTTGAAGAAAGAGAAAAATGAACTTATGATTTATGGGCTTGAAGATTAGAAAGGGTAGCTTATGGAAAGAAGGAAATTATGATAGACAGATCGCAAAGTAGAAATGTATCTATAACTGCTGTCAAGAAGATCGGAAGCCACTTCTTTATAATCTTTCTTTTCCTTCTCCTTCTCCTTCTCCTTTTCTATTTCTATTTCTATTTCTATTTCCATTTCCATTTTCTTTTTTCATTTTCAATTTCATTCCTTCTCTCATGTTGAGTCAAACATATGCCCGTGAAGGTATTCCTTCAATTTTAGGGAAAGGTGAAAGTCTCATGGTGCCAGGTCTAAATTGTATTGTAGATGGGTAAGGCATATGGGCATATGTTTCTCTACATGAAAAGGTGGAAAGGACTGTTAGGATCTGGTTGAAGAGACAAAGTATGGAGTTCTTTTCTGATGGTTTTAGAAGCTTATCCATCATTGGCAGAAGTGTGTAGCAACTTGTGATGATTACGTGGAGGAGTAAATTACAAGTAACAAAACAGCTAATTTCAAAGATTATTTTCCTGTTTCATTTGTTAAAATATCCCAAAGTTACAAAGGTGGAGGCATTAGTTTTCATTCAACTCTTATATACTGGCTACCATTCCACTGACTTATCATCTAAGAGATCTTTAAAGCAACAAAGAGCTTCAAAAGTGGTCACTTGTAGAACCTGTTCACAAATATATCCTAATCTATACCCTGTGATAAAAAGAATTCCTTTCCTGCACCCATTGCTAAGGCCACTTCTTGGTCACAGCATCTCACTTTGGAATTCTCTTTACCTTTTCAGGACAGGCGTTTAAGCAGGCTTCAATACAGCCTTTGGCAAATATTAGAGCAGGAATGGAGCTCTGTAACAGGAATGGAGAACTTGAGGCCCCAGAGCCACATGCTAGAGTGGCCATCCTCTACCTGGTGCTGTCAATACATTTGGAGGGGGGTATGTTTGGGAAGAGCATTATGGAAGCAAGCTAGCATAGATCTTGGAATCCAGATATGAGTGGAGAAAAGGGAGAACAGGAGACAGACAGTTATGTAGGTAAGTTGATTGGTAGACCTCTGTGTGAAGGTTGTCCTGATCACAGCTGCCACTTGCTACCTACTCCTTGGGCAGGAGCTGTGAGTCCAAGACGATCCCTAAATTACACACCAGTCCCAAAGGTGTGTACAACCCGATCCAGTACTAAAGGTGGAACATCTCCAGACTTCAGCAGTCCCCATACCTATTGCCACTGGGTCTTGTCAGAGGTAAGCTTGAGCCTGTTCCTCTCCATCCAGACCCACACAGACTCCAGACACTGGGACAAGACCTTGAGAGCATCACCTGGTTGGCCCAGGGTGAAAATATACAAATGGGCACCATCTGCATAATGATGACACCTGATCCCAAACTGAGGGATGACTTGACCGAGTTGTTTCATGTAAATGTTAAACAGGAGGAGCTGGAGCATCCAGCCTTGATGTGCTTCACATCAAGGGCCTCTAGTTTGATCTCTTCCCCCCTCAATACTGACTGAACCTGACAACAGAGAAAGGAGAACCATGCAACACCATACTCCCACTCCTACTTTCTGTAGGCAGTCCAGAAGGATACCATGATTGATAACAAAATCTGCTGAGAGGTCAACAAGAACCAGGGGAGTTGCATTACCCACATCCCAGCTCTGCCAGAAGTCATCAAGAAGTGCAACCAATGTTATATGGCATGGGTCCAGGTTACCTGAGGAACCATCTCACCCCTGTCACATCAACCCCTCCCACGGTCAAGCAGAGAGGGCATGTTGTGGATCCTGTAAGCAAGAGAATGTTGGCTGACAGGACCCAGGAGGGTCTGCCCTTTTGGAACATTCTCCCCCCAGAGGTGGGGCAGGCCCCTACCCTACTGGCCTTCTGGAGAGAATTAAAGACCTGGCTCTGCCTACTTGTGTGGGGTGATAACAACCTTACCCAATCCTGAGGGTGGCTAGCACCTTGATGATGCTCCCTGAGCAACTGCAATATGACAGGACATCTATTTATTTTCTATTTATTATTGTAATTTTGCAATTTTAATTGATTTTATCTGTTTTGTAAACCACCCAGGGTCATTCAACGAGATGGGTGGTGACAAATGTATATGTATATGTATATGTGTGTGTGTCTATGTATATATAAAAATATTGCCTCAGTATAATGTCCTAGTTTGAAACCAGAATGGTAGGGTTTAGATAATCTATTTCCTCCAGGACTCCCCAAAACTGCAGCTCAACCACCTACTCAACCACCTTCCCTAAAGAGGGAAAGTTGGAGACTAAATAAAAATTGCCCAGGAATGTCAAGTCCAATGAAGGCTTCTTGAGGAGGTGGAGGACTACTGCCTCCTTCCAGGCAGGTGGTACTAACCACTCTCTCAGCAAAGCAAATACTAATTCATGGACACCCCAGATAACCATAACACAGTGTTGTCCAAACTTGGCCACTTTAAGATGAGTGGACTTCAACTCCCAGAATTCCCCAGCCAGCCATGGACAACATTGCCATAACACCACACTTCCATCACCTCAACAGGACTTGTCCAGTCAGAGTCCAACTTTATCCACCAAAGGCTTAGAATACCCCTCACATGTTGAAAGGCAAGCTCTCCTTGCTCTTCCTCCTCTTTTCTTTCTTAGCACTATCCTCAGAATATGGAGGATGCATGGAAGTCAGCCTCATTGGAGGGAATATTATTTTGCCTAATATAAGACAACACACTATTTCTGATGTCCCAGGTCTATCCAGCAAATGAAGAATTATCTAGTGTCTAAACCCACCTTTCTAACAACTCCTGTGGAATTTTTAAAATGTGGGTTCGTTTTCATCAGTTGTACCATTGTATAAATAGAATTATCCAGGAAAGGGTTTGAGAAAACAAAATTCCATTTATTCAGGCTTCCTAGCATGGGGCTAATTTATCAGATGCTTTGGGGGAACTGCTGTGCCATATCATCACAGATGGCCGGATGGACAGTCAGAGGAAGTACAAGGTGGAAAGTAGAAGTAACTGAAAACTAGATACTAGAAGGTCCTGGAAATTAAATTATCTTAAGATGAAAGAGGAAATGAAGATAATCTTCTAATGGAAACGATCAACTTAGCCATTTGCTAACAGCTACCACTGACTAATGGAAAAGCTACACAAATGCTAGACAATATGACAGGACACCAGATCTCTACTTTTGTAAATTAAAAAGGAGAGCTGAACTACCAAAAATAGCCTACGGAAGAACTTACCTGGCTTGGCATTCGAACGGAAGGACGGAGCCCACCAGGGAAGCGCGAAGGCAGGAATGGCTGCAGGTGAGTAAAAGAGAGGTGAGCAGTTCCAAACTTAGTAAATTGCAGAAGGACTCACACGTATCCATGCTTTGGGGAGGGTCAACCCCAACCAATGCAAACTGGATTGGATTCACCCTACATATCTTCATGAGAGTTAATATAAAGCAGTGTTTCTTAACCTTTGCAACTTTAAGACGTGTGGACTTCAACTCCCAGAATTCCCCAGCCAGCATGGCACGAAGCAGGCTAACGGGATACAGAACATCCCAAGCTTCTTATCACTGAATCCAGTGACTGGTAAGCAGTCTCCAGGCTTCCAAATGCCTCCTCAGCCAACCTGGGGATGCTGCAGTTTAAGGCAGGTCTTCTTGCATGCAAAACCTATACTATACTCTCCCATTGAGCTATAGCTTTTCCCCAATTCTGGGCATTTTCAGTAAAAAGTAAGTTCTTCTCAGTTCAACTGGATTTTTGGCGTGGGAAATTTCTGGCCCTCCAGAGGTTGCTGCACAACAATTTTCAGGAATCTCAGACAGTACCATGGGGGATGCTGGGAGTTCTGGTTCAGTAACATTGGGATGGTCACATGTTGACCACTGTTTCCTGAAGAACTGCACTGAGTACTAAGAGATGAAGTTATTAATGGCTGTAACTCATTTTAATTTCCCTATGTCAGGAACACGGGTCAAGGTTGCCTTCCGATGCCTGTAATAATTCTCTCTGTGCACCCATGGGAAATCTAGAACTTGACTTGAATATAACATTCCTTTATTGCAGCCAGAGCCATCTAAATGAGACAAAGAGCATCTTTGCAAGGGACTGGCAGACACCTTTTTCTCTGCTTTATCAATTACAACTACCTGGATAGTTCTGCTCGGTTCCCAGCCGTCCCAATTCCTGCCTTGCTAAGTTCAACACTGACAACTTTGGAGATAGTCTGAAGCTGTCTTTTTCAGCTGCAGTGCTCCCACTGGCAACATGAGGGTAGTGATATTGTCTTATCTTATACAGTTGCTGTATGGCAGCAGTTCCCAACCTTTCCCTTACGTAGACCACTTCATTGTCATCAAAAGCTTTTGAGAACCGCCTTGCAGATCAGGGTTGGGAATGCAGCATTTGCGAATACCACACATATACAATATAATCCTCCATCCAAATGGCATCAGAAGGCTCCAGAATTAAATACAAATTAATTTGATGTGGTGGTTAAGGCACTGGGCTAGAAACTGGGAGACTGTGAATTCTAGTCCCACCTTAGGCCCAAAGCCAGCTGAGGGACCTTGGGCCAATCATTCTGTTTCAGCCCTAGGAAGAAGAAGGCCACTTCCAACATCTTGCCAAGAAATCTGCAGAGACTAGTACAGGCAGTCACCAGGAATCAATAATGACTTGAAGGTTCAAATCAAATCAAATCCCAAATGGCCAAAATGGTGCAATTTTACCAATCTTGCAAGATTTTGGTATTACTTGAAAACTTGTGAGATTTGGGGCAACTCCTCCCCCACAAACCTCATGAGATTTCAAGCAAGGAATTAGGCAATTATGCAAGATTCTTACTATTTCAAAAGTACAGGTAGTCCTTGATTTACGACAGCAATTGGGGCAAGAATTTCTGTTGCTAAGCAATGTGGTCGTAAAGCGTGACTGCAACGCTTAGTGACCTGCAGTCCTTGTTGCCATCATAAACCGAATCTCACAGTCGTTAGGCAAGGCAACTTCCTGCAAGTTTCCTACAACCAAGTGAATGGGGAAGCCACCAGGAATTTGTAAGTTTCAGGCCTGCAGGCAGGTAAGTGGCTACTAGCTGGGTGGGAGAGGGAGTGAGGGGGTGCATGGAGGATTGGAGAGGGTGCGTGAAAGGTGCGGTGGATGTGGAGAGGGTGCGCAAGAGTGCATGAGAGTTGTGGTGCAGCGTGGGGAGGATGCACAAGGGTGCATGAAAGACACTGTGTGGGTCAGGGAGGGTGTGTGAGAGGCACCATGCGTTCCAAGGAAGGTGCGAGGAGTGCACGAGAGATGCCGTGCAGGTTGGGGGGAGGCGCGTGGGTGTGCACAAGTATCCAGCACAGTGTAAGCACAGAGGGGCTGGGAGAGACTTATCCCAGAGATTTGTGACCTTCCCTGCTGGCTTCCCCCATTGACTTTCTGGGGAAGCCAGGACGGAAGGTTGAGAATGGTGATCACATGACTGCAGGGCACTTGGCAACTAGTTGTACGTGTGAACGAGTTACCAAGCACCCAGATCGCAATCACATGACTGTTGGGGTGCTGGGACAGCTGGAACTCCAAGATAGACCATCATTTGTTCACCACCATCCTAACTTGGAATGGTCGCTGACCAAATGGTCATAGGTCAAGAACTACCTGCATTTTCTTCTGTTTTGGCACCTGCACCAAGGACCACCTGCAGACCCCTCACTGTAAGAAGAACATGTGGAAGAGGTTGGGTTCACGCAATATACCAGAGTGACTAAAACAGGGTTCTGCAATCTGGTTCACTATATCATGGGACATCAACTATTATCTATTACCTTAAAGAATGGAAACCACTGATGGACTATTTGCAAAATGCAGGTGGGGTGAAGCTTACAT